CGGGATGGAACCTGCAACCTAGGTATGTGCCCTGACCTGAATTGAACCCGCAACCTTCCGGTGTACACCGGCCAGGGCCACAAATGCTTTCTTCTTAATGTCCATGAGAAGGGACAATGAAAGGCAGTTTGCTTTTACTTCACAATGTCACGATGATAGCACCTTCATTCTCTCCCCTCCTTGCTTTGTTAACTTTCCAGCTCTCTTACAATGTAGCCTTCAGGGACCTTGATTGCTGCTGTGATTTTCCACGGAACAACATGCTTAATGACATCATACTCTTGTACATGAATAGGAAGTGTAAAAGCACCATGTTTGCCAGAGAGTAGAAGATAAATGACATGAAGATTCCTGGTCCTGCCACATTGGGAACCTTTTTAGGAGTTCAGTGGTTTGGAACACAGCAGGACAAGTTATCTCTCTTCAAACATCTCACCACTTAAAAAGAGGCACAGTGTTTGGTGGGCCCCTTTGGATTTTGGAGGCAGAATATACACTCTCAGAACGACTTCTCCAATCCTCTATTGGGTGACCTCGAAGGCTGCCAATTGTGAGTAGTGCCCAGAGCCAGAAAGGGCTGTACAGCAGGTTCAAACCATAAAACAGGCTATGCTGACACTTTGGATGATATTATCCTGCAGATACAAGGTTGCTGGAGGAATCCACCTGGATAAACATTCTGTAGGGAGCCTCGAAAAGCTCTGAAGGGTTGCAGTGAGGAGCCCTAGAATTCTGAAGTAAGGCCATACTCACCATGGTCCATTTGAACAAAAGGTCCCGATGTGTCACTGGGCCCAGTAGTGACTGAGCATTTGACCACTGGATGCCAGGTGACTGTATGTCTTAAGCTAGATGTTATCAGGCAGGCACAGCAGCAATCCAACATGATGGAAGTGGTACACTCAGGGCTGGGCTCAAAGAGTCCAGAGGCATGAGTAAGTGAAATGAACCGGCAGCTCAGACTCCCGTGGCACCTAGATTTAAATCTGTTGATCTGACCCCTCTCCTGTAACCCATACCTATGGCCTCATGGAGGGTTCCCTGCAAACAACGGATAAAGAAGGAAAGGAGTTGAACCCATGTCACAGATAGGTCAGTGAGATATTTTGGCACCATCTGGAATGGACCACTCTATTATGGCCCCAGTCAGAGGTAGCCCTGAAGGACAGTGGTCAATGCTCCCAGGGGGCAGAACTATGAGCAGAACACTTCATCATACCCTTTGTATAGAGGAAGATATGGACTGAGATTCAGATATACATTAATTCCTGATAAGTGGCAACTTGGTTAGTTGGTCAAGGGCATGGAAAGAGCAAGATTGGAATTTGCAGACAAGGAGGTCTGGGTAAGGGGCACGTGGATGGAGCTATAGGAGTGGGCACAAAGCATGCAGATCTTTGTGTTAACATTTATGCTCACCAAAGAGCATCCACTGCAGGAGGAACCTCTCAGCCAGATGGTCAGATATTCCATCCTGTGGATGTCAGCCAGCCTTTAAACTTAGCCACTCTATCGTTTTGCAAAAGACCCATAAAATAGTGGCTATGAAATGAAACAAAGAACTTCTATGCACATATGCATAGCTCATGGACAAACAATAGTGCCATAGTGCAGAGAAGGCCTGGGGTAGGGGTTGGAGTGGTGGGGGTGGTGGGGGTAAAAAAAATGGAACTGCTTTATGACCCAGAGATTCGACTTCTGGGAATATATCTGAAGAAACCCGAATCACCAATCAGAAAGAATGTATGTCCCCTTATGTTCACTGCAGCGTTATTTACAATAGCCAAGATTTGGAAGCAGCCCAAATGCCCATCAGTAGATGAGTAGATAAAAAACAAACAAACTGTGGTACACTTTTTGGAATACTACCGGGCCGTAAAAAAGAGAAGGGAACCTTACCCTTTGCAACAGCATGGATCGACCTGGAGAGTATTATGCTAAGTGAAATAAGCCAGTCAGAGAAAGACAAATACAATATGATTTCACTTACATGTGGAATCTAATGAACAAAATAAATTAACAAAACAGAAACAGACTCCTAGGTACAGATAACAGACTGACAGCTGTCAGAGGGGAGCTGACTTGGGGGGCTGAGTGAAAAAGGTGCAGGGATGGCAGTTCCCTAGCCGACTGGCTCTGTGAAGGGGGCATGTCACCAGGCCACCACCTCGGGGGTCCTGTGGGGTTTAAATGAGATGGAGACAGCCCTAACCAGTTTGGTTCAGTGGTTGGAGCATTGGCCTAGGGACTGAAAGGTCCCAGGTTCGATTCGGTCAAGGGCATGTACCTTGGTTGTGGGCACATCCCCAGTAGGAGGTGTGCAGGAGGCAGCTGATCGATGTTTCTCTCATCGATGTTTCTAACTCTCTATCCCTCTCACTTCCTCGCTGTAAAAAATCAATAAAATATATTTTTAAAAAATTTTAAAAAAAAGTGCAGGGATAAAGCAAAACAAAAGTCATGCACACAGACAACAGTATGGTGATGACCAGAGGGAAAGTGGGGCAGGGAGAGGTAGGAGGGTAAAGGTGGGATAAATGACTTGAGGTGGTGAACACAAAATACAAAGGTGTATTATAGAATTATACACCTGAAACCAAATAGTTTAATTAACCAATGTCATCCCAATAAATTCTATTAAAAAAAAAAGAGTGGCTATGGTGGCAAGGATCCAACAAGTTGGGCTCTCTCTCGCCAAGGCTGATCTAGTAATTGCCAACAAATAGCTAACCAGCTAGCAGCAGGCAGCAGTTTAGCAACATTGGTCAGGGAGAGCAGCCAGCCACCTCATGACAGGTTATTTATTTACTTATTTATTTTTAAAATATATTTTTATTTCAGAGAGGAAGGGAGAGAGAGAGAGAAAGAGAGAGAGAGAGAGAGAGAGAGAGAGAGAGAGAGAGAAATATCAGTGAGGAGAGAGCAACATTGATCAGCTGCCTCCTGCAGACCTCCTACTGGGGATTGAGCCCACAACCCTGGCATGTGCCCCGACCAGGAATTGAACCACGACCTTCTGGGCTCATGGCAGGTCATTTGTATCAGCTCTCTTCCACATTGGAGAAGGCAATGATTCATCCTCATTAGAACTTACATTTCTTACCCATAGTGCTCCTGCAAGTATCACCATGCAAAGGCTTAAAGAACATTCAATCCATTACCCAAGGCCAGAGCACCCATTTTATGGCAGAGGAGATTAAAGCTTGTGGAAATGAAGTCATTCCATACCAGTGGTTCTCAACCTTCCTAATGCCGAGACCCTTTCATACAGTTCCTCATGTTGTGGTGACCCCCAACCATAAAATTATTTTCATTGCTACTTCATAACTGTAATTTTGCTACTGTTATGAATCGTAATGTAAATACCTGATATGCAGGATGTATTTTCATTGTTACAAATTGAACATAATTAAAGCATAGTGATTAATCACAAAAACAATATGTAATTATATATGTGTTTTCCGATTGTCTTAGGCCACCCCTGTGAAAGGGTCTTTCGACCCCCAAAGGGGTCGAGACCCACAGGTTGAGACCCGCTGTTCTATACCATTGTTCTCTCAAGCTGGCTGCTGCTGGGTATATGGTAAGACCAGGGAAGCCCACATTTTTAACCTTTCCAGATTATTCAGCATTCCAGATTAGCCAGCTTGAGAGAACAATGGTATAGAATGACTTCATTTCCACAAGCTTTAATCTCCTCTGCAAAATGAGGATTATGAACAGTATATTGTAGAGGAGAGAACACATATGAGGGTAGATGAGAAAACCAAGGCTCATAGAGACTGGTGACTTGCTGAAGACCACACAGCTAATAAATGGCAGAATCAGGACTGGAACTTTCCCACAAGATGGAAACTGACTATCTGAAGAGGTGCTTTGGAAAGTGCCTTGCCCCAGGCACTTGGTAGAGGTGGAGAAGGTTCAGCCCAGTGACCCCACTGGCTTATCATTACAGGAAAATCACTAAAGCAAAAGAAGAACCACTGATATCTGTAGCTAGTTCCACAAAGAAGACCATAGCCATGCAGAAGAACACAAAACCCCTCGAAAAGGAGGCCTTGAAGAAGAAATGCCTGCCAGGAATGCCTCAACAGAGTCCTTCTTCTGACTCATCTGGCCAGACTGAAGGGAATGTCAAAACTCCACAAGAAATAAATTACTTTCAGCATTAAAGTGCTCCTGAAATGCATCCTGGCTCCAAATCTCCTCCTTAGGTTATCAGAAGGTGAATGATTCTCACGATGGCCACCTCGAAGAGCTCTCAACTAAAGATGATAACTATGTGGATTAAACCAAGACTTGAGGGGCTGTGGAAGGAGATGTCTGCAGGGACTCTGCAGCCCAAGTCCTGTCTGGTAGCCATGAAAAATCCTTAATTGTGTGAAAATCTGAACTAGTTATAGGATAAAATAAACTCACAATTAGGATTTAAAATAATGTTTAAAAACAATATATGTACTTCACGAAACTATTGTGGGATTGGAAAGATCCTGTACATAGGTCCTGGCATGCAGCTGGCACTCAATAAATGGTAGGCATTATTATTACCTAGAGGCTCCATGCACGAAATTCATTCAAGAGTAGGCCTTCCTTCCCCTTGCCGGCACTGGCTTCCCCCTGGCACCCAGGACCCGGGCTTCTGGAAGGTTGTCCAGAAGGACATCCGGTCTAATTAGCATATTATGCTTTTATTATTATAGACTGAATTGAATTGTGAAGGGCCTCTGGGCCCCAAGAGGAACTAGTGGTTGGGCTTCACTAAGTCCAGCAGGGCTGTGGATCCCACTGTAGCATGACCTGCTTTGAATACTCTTAGCTGTTCAAAGCCTCCAGCTAGAATCACATTTTGCTGCCAGCAGAGAGGGTGTTACTGGCAGGAGACGGAGGAGAAAAGGAAACTGTGCAGAGTGTAGGAAATGGAAACTCTGACAGGGATTGGCTATCAGGAAAGGGGGGTGTAATTGGAATGTGATGATAAAAGCCAGCCTGCAGCCTGGGAGAGCTGCTGCTATCCCTCACTGCCGCTCCCATCTGCAGGCTCTGGGCAGGAAGATTCCTTCTCTTCTCTCCTCCAAGGTAAACCCAGAAACTAAGAGGCATGGGTGTCAAGCGGTCACCTTTTGCCAGGGTGCCCATTCCTCAGGGAGGCTGAGTCTCTTTTACTGCCCTGGGCTCAGACTGGTCTGAGGGGATGGTTGGGGCGTTGAGGTACAAAACTCCAAGAGGCATGAAACTGACCTTAACAGATGCCCTTTCAGCAATCTGTGGCCTTAACTCTGTCATTTCGCCTTTTTGAGCTTTAGTTCCTCAGCTGCAAAAGGATAATCAAGCCACCTTGCCTGGATGATTTCAGAAACCCCTTTGTTGTAGGATCTAATGTGACAGTGAGTTCATCTTGGATGATAGAGTAATCTGGAATGGTTACAAATGTGGGCTTAGACATCAGTAATTGTGGGATTCTGCCACTCCCTGCTGGGCAGGCATGGGAATATTAAATTCTCTGAGTTTCAGTTTCCTTATCTATAACACGTGGTTGAGAACAACAGTATCTACTTCATGTGGTGGTTATGGGTATAAATGACCTTGTGCCATAAAGTGCTGAGTAAGCGCTCAATACAAGGGGGGGGGGAGTTATTTGTTTGTTTATTTGTTTAAATATGTTTTTTATTGATTTCAGAGAGAGGAAGGGAGAGGGAGAGAGAGAGAAACATCAGTGATGAGAGAGAATCATTGATAGGCTGTCTCCTGCATAGCCCCCACTGGGGATCGAGCCTGAAACCCGACCGTTTGCCTTGACCAGGAATCCAATCATGACCTCCTGGTTCATGAGTTGATGCTCAACCATTGAACCACACCAGCTGGGCGATGTTTACTTGCTTTTAATTCAAGAAAATTGCATTGAACTGACAAAAAGTGCATTACAGGTGAATTTGGGGGCATGTATATTTTCCTATTTTGTGGAATAATGAACATAGGTTTTGAATTCCAACAGTCATGAGTGTGTGTCTAGATTGCATAGTTTATGGTGTGGCCTTGGGCAACCTCCTTAACCCTCTGTGCTTTCTTTCTGAAAAATGAAGCTGGTGTGAGGACAATGTTTGGTGCCTATAACTATTCAATGCATTGGAAAAATAAATTGATCCACAACCATTTTTTTTTTTCCTCAGAAAATTCTGTGTGACAGATAATGTTCTAAGTGCTAGGGAATAGTGATGAATAGTTTCAAAACTCACAGCCACCCTCTAAAATAGGCTCTATTAATAACCCATCTTAGGGATAAGTAAATCGAGACCCAGAAAAGGTGCTAGTATCCTGCCCGAGGTCAGGCAGGCAGTGAGGACAAAGTCAAGAACAAACCACGGCAAGGATACTAGCTGACATCATTGAGCGTGCGCCACGTGCCAGGCACCTTACCAGAAGAGGATTCCCTCACTGATTCTCAGGACACCGGGTGAGGCAGGAACATCACTGCTCTTGTTGCCACGAAGAAACGGAAATCCCGCAGCTCCTGAGAAGGGTCCTGGGCTCAGTCCAGAACACTTCGCTGCTTTGAATGGACTCTTCCTCCAATCGGAAAGGAAGACAGCCTGGAGGGTTTGGCTCAAAATGGCTCTGGATCATCTCTTTCCTCTCCCCATCCCCAGGTTCAGCGACAAAGCCGCCACCATGCGGCAGAAGGTGGTATCGCTCTTGTTGTGCTACCTGCTCCTCTACGCCTGCGGGCCGGTGGAGGCAGGTAAGGATCCTGGGGCAGAGGAAGATCTCGGGAGAAAGAAGCGGGAAGTTTCAGGATCCTTGGTTTAGAGCGGTGGTTCTCAACCTTCCTAATGCCGCGACCCTTTCATACAGTTCCTCATGTTGTGGTGACCCCCAACCATAAAATCATTTTCGTTGCTACTTCATAACTGTAATTTTGCTACTGTTATGAATCGTCATGTAAGTATCTGATATGCAGGATGTATTTTCATTGTTACAAATTGAACATAATTAAAGCATAGTGATTAATAACAAAAACAATATGTAATTATATATTCAATATGTTTTCCGATGGTCTTAGGCGACCCCTGTGAAAGGGTCGTTCAACCCCCAAAGGGGCCGCGACCCACAGGTTGAGAACCGCTGGTTTAGAGGTTCAGGCGTGCCTCTGAATGAGAGAAGCTATTACAATGGACAGCGCAGGCTTGTCGTGGCCAGAGCCCCAGATTCGAATCCCTAATTGGTCCATTCCTCCATTCTAACATTTATTCAATGCCAGTTATGTGCCAGGCACGAGGCCTTAGGAAAAGTCTCTTCCCTTTAGTGAGGCTCTCCGAATAGGAGGATGGTGGTCCCCAGCTCTGTGGGTGTTCCTGGGCATCGGGCACAGAGTAGGGGACTCTGCTCCCCACTGCACTCCACTTTGTCCGCTCTCCCCACAGGCAAAAGGAAAGACTCGGAGGACAGCGACTCCGGAATCTGGGGCGCGCTGCCCTACATGGCGATCGGAGCAGGTGGGTCTGGAAGGTGGGAGCTTGACAAGGTGGGGCGACCCCAGCCCCGGGCGCTCCCTCACTGTCTCCTCTTCCTCCAGGGGCCCTGGTCTTGGGGCTGCCCGTTCTGGGCTTCACGGGCACCGGTATCGCTGCCAACTCGGTGGCCTCCTGGCTGATGAGCTGCTCGGCCGTAGCGAACGGGGGCAGCGTGCCCGCCGGAGGGCTGGTGGCCACGCTGCAGAGTTTGGGTGAGTTGGGGGCCAGGCCCTGGAGCAGACACCAGGGCCACAGGTCGTCTCTCTATTTACTATTCTGAGTCCTTTCCACAGGCCAGCTCAGCTCTCTGAAGTGCATGTTCTTATAAGCCCCATCGTACAGTGGGTGGATTGAGGCACCGACTGGTTCAGTCATTTACTCCCAGCTGGCTTGCGCTGGAGCCAGGATTCAAACCCAGACAGTCTGATTGCTGGCTTTCACAGCAAGCCTCAGTTTCCTCATCTACTAACCAGGACAATCTTCCTCAATTTAACATTTTATGAATCTGCTCATTCTCAAACACCCAGAGTGGAACAACTCACTTCAATCTCATACCAGTTCTGGTCTTGACTTGAGTTTCTTGAACACCATGAAGGGGATTGATACAGAGCTCAGAATGATCCTTCTAAAAATTTGGCATTCATGTCTATCTCTGTGAATCTCTCTTTCTTTTCCCCCTCCCTCTCTCCTTCACCCTTTTCTCTCTCTCTCTCTCTCTCTCTCTCTCTCTCTCTCTCTCTCTCGCCAAAATCCTAGAGAAAAAAACACTCCTGACAAACTCTGCCTTTCTGAGCCCTCCATCTTCTCTCAGTTCTGGATGACAAAGCCCAATGGACCAGCCCAGAAGAACAGAGCCCTTCTCAGGGGGGCAGCGGGGAACACAGGCCAGGCCACACCCCAGCAGTGGGAAGTAAGGGGTTTGGGCAGGACTAGCAACAGTCCAGTGTTATGCGATGGTTGTCCTCTCTTACTCGTGAGCCCTCCAGCACCCACAGAGAGGTCTCCACAAAGGTGGCTGCTATTAGCATTATTAATAACACGGAAGACATGAGGAGAATGAGTTGCTATTTTGACTTTTTTTCATCTCTGAAACACAGCTCTGATTTGAGGTGGTGAGTTGGGAGGAGGGGGAAATAATACTCACTTTGCAGAAGTCCCCTTCCCTCTCAGGGCCACTGTTTCTCCATCTGAAAATGAAGAGGTTGGACTTGACCATTGGTTTCCAGACTTTTGGATTCCCAGGCCTGATGCCTGGGCTGCGCGTGACCTGGCTACACTTGCTTTACAGGGGCTACTGGTGGTGGCAGTGCCCTCATGGCCAACGTTGGTGCCGCTATAGGCTATACTGTCCACAAGCAGATAGACAACAAGGGGGCAGAGGAGGAGGAGGAGGAGTGAGCAGCTTCCAGGACACCCATCCCCCGCCCTCCTTCTTCCAGGTGAAGTCCAGAGCTCTCTCTGTGACACTCCAACGACCAGGTGAAAATGAGAATAAACTTCTCTCAGAAAACACTTTGTCTTGTGAGTCATTCTTCCTAGGAGAAGCCCAACAAGATCTGGGTCTGGTCTGCCTCATCCACACACCCCACCCTCCCTTCTCCCTAAAGCCAACCACAGCTCCTGAAACACCCGCAGCTGATTTTGTCCCTGGACCTCGGCATGTGCTGTCCTTTCTGCCTAGAATGTCCTGAAGCTCATAACCCGGCTCAGACATCCCTACCCTGAGGCTCCTTCCCAGCAGAGCTGCCTGCTGCCCCCGTCACACTGTGAATGCTCAGGCTGGAGGTCGCAGTGGGCCAGGGAGGCAGAGCTCAGTTTAGTCTCAGTGAGAGAAGCTTCCAGCTACTTCTCTGATTTGGCAGAAACGTAGAAACCAGATCTCCGTTCTCGGAAGCAGCACCAGAGTGGTCTACCTCTGGTGGAGAATAGAGGGCCAGACTTTTGCTTTGAAGAAAGTATGTTAGCAGCAGCTTTTGGAAGGCTCAGCAAGGCCTCCCTTCCCTCAGGGAGTCTGGGATAGGGTGGGCAGTTTACATCGGAGCATATGCCTCTGAGTGGGAAGGGAAGGCCAACCCAAGCCTGTGGGGAGATTGTGTTAGCAGCAGCTGTTGGAGGGCTCAGCAAGGCCTCCCTTCCCTCAGGAAATCTGGGATAGGGTGGGCAGTTTACATCTGGAGCATATGCCTCTGTGTGGGAAGGGAAGGCCAACCCAAGCCTGTGGGGAGATTTGAAGCTTGGGGCAGAGTGCAAGGACCTAGGCGGGGGGAGGGCCCAGAGACCTTAGAAATCAAATGTCAGTCAAGGAAGGGCTGGTTCTATCACTAATGGAAAAAGAGAAAAATGCTGTGGTCCTGGTCTGTGAGTGGGCACCAGCCTCAATGCCAGCCCACCCTCCAGCGAGATCTGCACCCCTGGGAAGTAGCCACATGGGAGTCACAATAGCCGGCGATGCACAAAAGGGCCAAGCCAGCTGTCCTCATTTCTAATCCAGAAGTTCTTCCATTAAGAATGTGTATGGACGGGTGGGGAAGAGGACCATCCTGCTTCCTCCTGTCCCCAGGTCCAATGCCACCTCGGCCGATGGTTGCCTCAGCTGGCTTGCCCCAGACCACCGGAGAAGCACTGTTTGTGGAAGAGTTGCATAGGTGGGACAGGCACCCTCCTGCACCTCAAATATTGTCTCCATGGCTTGTATCCAAGAGCAGAAACTGGGCTGAGTCCCCGGACCTGCTACCATACAAGCCTGAGCAGAGTCCTGCCTTGGCTGGAGCCATCCATGGGAGGTGGGGGGAGCGATAGAGTGGACTTCCGCCCACAGAAGGAGGTACAGTCTCAAGCATCACACTGTGCTGAGGCCTATTAATTGCACCCTAGTTTGTCTATAGGGATGACATCCCAGAGACAGGTACGTGTCCTTCAGCCCCTTTAGGGAGGGCGCTGTATCTAAGTTATCCTTTTCCCCTAGTTCCCAGGATAGACCTGGCATACAGTTGGTGCTCAATATATGTGAGCAGAATTGAACCTCCACTTCCATCTACCTGTCCCTATGCCTTCCCCAATCTTCATGGGAAGGAGTGACTGGAATTCTGGTTCTTTCCTTGGGATTCCCTTGATAATACCCACTGTCACCACCATGCAGACCTAGGAGAGGAGGTCCTGCACCCCCTTTAACACTGTGGTCCAAGTAAACACAGGCCCCTCACCTTGTACTCAATCTTCTCTGACACAGATGAGTTTTCAAAGGAGGCCGTGGAGCACAGCATGGAGTCCTGCAGACCTTGGTTCAGTTCCTGCCCTGTGGGCCCTAGTGCAGGTTTCTTCACCTCTCCGTGACTCAGTTTCCTCCTCTATAAACAGAATGGTAATGACACCTACCTCATGGGGGTTTTGTTATGAAATTAGACGAACTAGTGAACAAAGAGAGTCTAGCATGGCGCCTGGCACATAGTGAGCACTCTGTTAATGTCAGTGACTATTATGATTAGGACTTGCATAAAGCAAAGAGGAAACAGCCAAATGCCTACTAGGAATTAGATAATTTAACTTTGGGGCCAGGATTTATTCTCTGGGGCTCACAGACTCTGTTCTGCCTTTCTCCCAAGGGTGAGTGTCTTCCACGTATTCCCTTGGCACCTTATTCCCTTGAAGAGCATCACGGCTAAAGGAAGATGGACAACTCTGCCCCCCAATTTTAGATCAGAGGCCTCAGCAGTTCTCAAGCTGAATGACATTGAAATGACCCATCTTTATGGGGAGGTTCCACCTACTCCAGGGGCTCTTTGGGCCTGTGCAGGTAACTCCTTGCCTTCGTTCTCCAGACATTTACTGGGCACTCAGTCTGTGCTAGGCACTGTGCCAAATGCTGAGGACACTACAGTGGTAGAGACCCAGTTGCTACCTACGTGGAGCCCACAGTGCCCAAACTGGGAGCCCTCAAAAGCATCTATGGCCCCCCTTCTCTCTCCCTGTCACCACCCCCTCATCCCCATCTCCTTTCACCTGCCATGGCCCTTATCAGCCTTCACAGCCCACAATCACCTTGTCTACAAAGTATGAGGCAGAAGGATGAACGCGGCCAGAATTCACTAATGCAACAAGTCAGGAGATGCTAATGCACTTTTAGACTCCTCCTTGGCAATGGCCTTCAGAAAGACACACAGCGGAGTCTTGGCCCAGCTCCAGGGTGGGGTGCCTCAGGCAGGTTACTTATCCTCCCTGAGTCCCAGCTTCTTCCTTGTTTTTTCAACCCAGTGGGGTTGGATATCATATTCTCCAGGACACTTCCTCCTCTAAAACTGCTGAGCCTGAAGCACATCCTTCTGAACCCCCCTGGCCCTGTCAGATCCCCGCCCTCGGAGAGTAGATTTTATTTTTGAAGCTGACAAAAGCAATCTGGTTGCCAACTTTGGGACTAAGGTGGGTGATGGTGCTGAGAGAGACCATGTTTGGTCACAAATGAGGGTGACTAGAAACTAGCAGGGCACTCTGGGACCACACCCTAAGACAAGTCTGAAAATAGATCCATCTGTGTGGCTGACTTGATGGAAAACAATGCTGAGGTCCTCTGTCCTCATCATGTCTCCCTGGGCCTCTATGTCCTCGACCAGCAATTTTCAAACTGTGTGCCATGGCACAGGGATGTGTTGCAAGAATTTTTAAGACATGCAAAACCTGACTATTTAGTCAGGGGTACTGACCTTTTATCCCTCAGATCGTCAAATTTTAAAAGAAACGACATCAGCTAACTCGCCAATAGCCGTCTGATGTGATTGATTCAAAATTATACCTAATTTTTTGTCAGATCAGGAAAAAAATATATAATATATTTCAGCAAAAAATATAATAATTTTTGGTGTGCCGCAGAATGTTATTAATCACTTTCTGTGTGCCATGAGATGAAAGAGGTTGAGATCACTCACCTAGACTATAAAACGGAGGAGGGCAAGAGTTGGACTCTCATCTAGACCTAGAATGCCTTTCTTGAGTGCTCAAGTTAGAGCTGACATGCTCTCTTTTTTTAAAAAAAAATATGTTTTTATTGATTTTAGAGAGAGGAAGGGAGAAGGATAAAGAGATAGAAACATTGATAGGCTGCCTCCTACACGTCTCCACTGGGGATGGAGCCCACAAGGCGGCCATATGCCCTGACCCTGGAATGAACGGAACCAACCACGGAACCAACTGTGACCTCCTGGTTCATGGGATTACGCTCACACACTGAGCCACGCCCACTGGGCTGTTTTTTTTTTGTTGTTGTTTGTATTTTGTTTTAATCCTCACCCGAGGACAAACTCCAGAGAGGGGAAGGGAGGAAGAAGGGTGAGAAGAGAGAGATCCATGTGAGAGAGAACAGCACTGGCTGCCTGGCCTTCCGTAAGCACCCCACCAGGGGTCCCGAACCTGAAACCCTACCTTCCAACCACACCGGCCAGGGCTAGAGCTGTCATGCTCTTTAATAAGACCCCTTTATCTAGTGACTTATTTTATTATTTTTTTAAAAAACACACACACATATTTTCATTGATTTCAGAGAGGAAAGGAGAGGGAAAAAGAGAAACATCAATGATGAGAGAATCATTGATCAACTGCCTCCTGCACGACCCACATTGGGGATCGAGCTCGCAGCCCCCGCCAGGAATCGAACTGTGACCTGGGGTTCACAGGTCGACGCTCAACCACTGAACCACACCCGCCGGCTGGGCTTCTTTTACTCTTTCAGGTCCTCCCTGGCCCCTAAGACCCTTGAAAGTCAGCTCACTGCCCATCCTGGCAGGCCTCCCCCACTTCCATGGTGCTATGTGCCGGTGTGGCCACCAGGTGACAGTGCAGTCCCGCCCTGGACTCCTCCTCAGCCTGCACCATGCTTGCGCAGCGCCACAATTACCCACAGCCCTCCCTGGGTCAGGCCCTATCATGGATGCTCGAGCTGGAATGGGTCCAACCCTGCCCCCGTCTGCGCAGGAGCTCCCGAAGCTCACGAGAGCGGCCAATCCGGAGACACTGCAGGGTGTGCCCTCTCCTCTCCGGGATCTCCAAACTCCTGAGCACAGCATTCCGGACCCTCTGCGATCGGGTCTCACCTGCGGGGCCACCGCCTGTGCTGCCAGGCCTGAGCCACAGGGATGATCAGGAAATGAGGGTAGCGCTTCACACGCATACGTCACCTGGCTGCGCAGCAGAGGGTAATGCTAGGAGCAGGGCGCCCCTGGACCCAGCCTGAAAGAGGACCAGGGCCTGCAGAGGGCTTGGTCAGCGGTAGTGGGAGGTAGTGGGAGGGCGCTGAAGCAGAGGAGGCCTGTGGCTTCCTGTGAAGAACTGAAGAGCCACTTCCTTTCAGCAGATGGCCGTGGGGGAGGGGCGAGGATTAGGAAGCGGGGGGCTTTCTGGCTGAGGGGTGTGCAGAGGGGGATGGGGGGTGGGTGGGAGGAAGGGAATCCCAGGAAGGCCCCACAGTGATAGCCAGAGTCCCTTCTAGTTCCCTTCTCTCTGGAGTCTCCATGGAGCAGACAGCC